AAAGTTTATCTTTGGTTGGCTATAGTTTATGTTTATTGTTTCCTGAATGAATAATTCACAAATCTTTTACATTACAAAGTATATGTTGTACTTTCCTTATACATCTCACATCGACACTCATAGTCTGGATCCTGTCATCACATTCAGATTATAAGATAAGTGTTCATCTTGATATCTAGTTTTGATCTATTCATGAAGTACCTGGGGACTGACTAGTTCTAGTTTAGAGGTCAAAACGTTTCTCATTTTGGTGTGTTTCACATTAAAATGAGAAATAGCGCCGCCGAAATTGACACACGGGATCCCTTGCTAGCATCTTTGATTGCGATTCCAAGTGCGTGGAAAACGCGTTTGTGACAGTCTAATTTTCAAAATTTTCGGGGAGAGGGCCCAGACCCCCGCCGCAACACAAGCCCCCGTGGCACTCGCGGCCTGCTGGCTCGCCGCTCCGCACTCAGTAACTTGGGCGTTATATTGGCGCCCAACCACTCTGCTGCACCCACACTTTTAGAATCCTACATACGACCCTGCATATAGACAAAAGAAAATAGACAAATAGATAACTTATCTGCGATATCTCTTATGTGGAAGCAGACGTTAAACACCAAGAACTACTACTACTACTACTACAAATAGATAAGTTTTGTTAAACTTGATCAGATATCAAACAGATTTCATATTCACTACATGTCAATGATGTTTATGAGTAATATATTGTAAAAACCTGACCAGATAACCGTCGTCTTTAGCGTTTAATATTGTTTGTGAGTGAGGTCTATGAGTAATATAGTGTACATCAAAAACTCTCGCAAATAACCGTCGTCTTTAGCCTTTAATATTCTTTGTCATAGGCGTAGGAGTTCAAAGTAATTCAGGGGGGCATAAGAGAAAATTGCCCGAAATCAATACCGTTTTTTCGGGCATACATATCATAAGAGAGCTTCGGGCATATTTTCGGGCATGCAGTGGACAAGAAAAAGACGAGAAAATACTTTTCGGGCATTGTGGATCTCATAGAAATAAGTTAGTTATATTTTTTCTCTAAACGTTAATAGAAAAAAAAGGTCGTCCAATTTTTCATACCCCTGCCCCCCCCCCCCCCGGCTCCTACGCCTATGTTCTTTGTGATACACAGATAACTAAACTCTTACTCATGGCCGGCTGATTATACATATAAATTGTCCAGATTTAGAGACAAGTTGATAAAGATGTCAGTAATTTTACTGATTTTTGTATCTTCACTTCTAGTAACAGGTAGGTACTGTATCATTCATATTCCTTTGGTTAGAATATTGGTCAGGTATTGACCAACGTGTTAGAAACTTCCCGTAGCGGATGTAATGGGAGGTATATCGCTACTTTACTATTAACATACCGTCGTTGTATTTATTATGTATGTTGTATGTGTCTGTATGGAAAGCCTTCCCATCCTCTTCCATATATTCCAAGATGTGGACAACCCATTGTATTTGTTTTGTTATACGTTTTGTTTGTGACATTACCGTGTTGCCATATGTAAGACACTCGGTATTAATTGTAGAACACACGTCCTTAGGGTGATGAAAATGAAATGAAATGAATTGGTCTTTAACGTCCTACTGTTCTGCTCTGACTGGGCTAAGAGCGACGGGCATACACCATACAGTGTGCTATGAGGGAACTGTTGCACCTACCCTTATATAGAATTTCAACTGCCAAGGGATCTTTAACGTGTACGCTAGTGCGTACACGGGACCTCGGTTTCTTGTCATACCCGAACGACTTTATGCTGTCCCTTGCCAAGTTGTCCCTAGCCAAGGAGGGACCGAACCGGAAAATTCTGATGAACATTCTCGGATCAAACACGCGACCTCCAGGTTAGCGAGCTAACGTCTTACCCACTGGGCCGTCGTGGCTCCCTTACGTTTACGATGCTACACCCGTGCGTGTGATTTCTTTATTTTAATCTTACATAATTTCATTTACACCCCAAATGCACATTTAGTAACTAATGATTTCATTCCGTGTAATTTATTGACAACTGTTTTGCATTTGAATGTGGTTTGAGCGTAGTTGCGAGTGCGGAGTATTTTAGAAACCTTACCATTTTAGCTATGAACTAGTTAGATCCCGCCATTGTTTACAACATGCGTTGATATTTGTCTTGTGTGTCATATTTTTGTATTTGAAACTACATAGTGTTTTTACCACTTTGTCCATTAAAGTAACATCTTTCAGGGTAGGATCCGGGGGTGTGTGGGATTTGTGTAAAACAACGCTTTTTATGAGAAAAGTGTAACGGTGGTGTATCCTTTATCATCAGATGGTGGGGTGGGATGGGCAATCAAAGCGCGAGATAATGATATAGACATATGTGATATCACAATAAATGCTTTGCATCAATAAAATTGAATCACAATGTGATCGTATTAATCTATAATAAAAATTGCCTTCAAACGAGGTATTGGATTTCTCTCTTTAAAAGGCTCAGTGTGTATGTATGCCTACTTTGATGTTATCATGCATTGTCAACTGTCAAATTTCCTTAACAATGGATGTCCTATATGAGAGAGAGACCCCCCCCCCCCCCAAACCAACAACATTGTCTCGGGAACCTGTCACCCCCCCCCCCCCCAACCCCACCTCCTCCTTCAAACATTCCTGGATCCGTCCATGGACATCATCATTCTATGATTTTATTTGTGGGAGTACGTTAAGCTGATCTGACGCGTCCGGTTTGTTGTTATCTCCGCCTTTGCGTTGTCCGGAAGTCGACACAACAGTACAGTATTCGATCATCCAGTATCTAAATGAATTTGACGGCAGGTTAACAGAGATTAAATGAAATAGGGTTGAACGTCCTACTGCTCTGCGCCGACTGGACTAATGAAGACGGAAATTATGCCCGTACCGCGATTCTACCACCTACTATTACTTCGAATCTCGAATTCCAACTGCCAAGGGATGTTTTACGTGTACACCAATGATAGAAATATAGACCCCACTACTGATATCTACCGTCTTGCTACAATCACAGTAGTGAGTCATTCTAAGAACGTCCTTTCAGCAAGTTTTGTAATCCTATACATCATTAAAAATATCGCTTCGAAATTATAGAACGCATTATCATCAACAAAACTATTCGGTAACTATTTGAGTGGTCCACTCTTCACTATTTGTAATAGAATTACTTATCTCAATACAAACAGTGATGTTATTGTGCGTTTGAAGCTATTTTTACTTGTTCAAAGCCCCGAAGCGTGTATGAATTGTAACGGCATTGCGGCTTACCAATAAGTAGACGGGATATCGGTTTTTTTCGTCCCATCCGAATGACTATACACTGTTCCGTGTCATCTCACCAGCCGACTTGCTCCTGTGACATGTGTAATCCACGTCAGAAAATTTCAAAGTACGTTCTCGGGCAACATCCGGAGCGAATCCGGAACCAGGTGTTACTTGCAGGTGGTCAGTGAGGTTATTCACATCAGTAATTATGATTGTTATTTTATATTGTCTATTTTCAATTCAAATGAATCCATCTTACTTTTATAGTTTTATCTGGTTTCAGTTCAAGGTAACTGTGATAGTGTTATAAATATCTATGGCTGTGCCAAACAACAAAATGTTACATTAACAGTTGGTCTACCAGAAAATAGTACTTTGATAACAGTAACTCATAATTATGGTAGTCCATTATTTATGGGCAAGGCAGGATCGATTAGCATACACTCGTCCAATAGTAAACACTATGAAATTATAAACCAGTCGGAACAACAGTTTATGTTTAAAATAGTGAATGTGACTAAACTTGATGCTGGTATTTACCATTGGTGGAAGCCTATTTCTGGATGGGGTTATAGTTTCGGATGTGTAGTACTTTTTGTATCAGGTAATCATCATCATCATTTATATTGGTTCTAGATTTCAGCGGATAAATACCGAGTATGAATATAAATAAATAATTATACTGGTACACTTTACAATTTGCTCGTATATAATGTCTCTACTTAATCAAACCAAAACCTGACAAATATTCATATTGTATCATAATGTAGTAGTATAATTTAAACAAAACAAAACAAAACAAAACAAAATCTAACAAATATGTTATATTATATTACCATATAGATAAACCATTAACAGTTATATCCAACCAACATCAACCAGTTTTACCGCGTATTAAAGACAATGGAGAAATAAAGGGGAAGATAAGTCTAACTTGTAATGCAATATCTACAACCCTATCGACTTATTTCAAGCTACCTATGATATATAGATGGTTTAAACATGGTATATATTATGGTAATGGTAATATACTACAAGATATAGATATTGATATAAATGATATAGGACATGATATAATCTGTATAGCTACAGGTGATCCTTGTTGTAAAACAGTTTTACAAGATTTAAAACAAGATGCTACACTCACAACAGGTTAGTTGGTGTAATTTAAAAAAAGTGGCTCAGAAGCAATAAATAGCTGTTTTGTGTATTTTCAATTACTTTGAATCTTGTCTGTCAATGTCTAATCAACATATCATCAACGTAGCAATTTTAATAGATAAAATAGTCGTAGTTATTTTGTTTCTATACTTATAACATTCTACGGGCTTTAGTACATTATTCATCCCATTCCTTTTTTAACGATTTTATTTATCCGATTAACGTAGTTACTAGAGATAACAATTTTTCTTATTTTTATTCATCCCATTAATTTATGTCAATGATTTTATTTTTCCAATTAACATTGTTTGTCGAGATAACAATTATAATGATGTAGTTGGTCTTATTTTTATTCATCTCATGTTAATACAGTTACAACAGATACAGAATGTGAAGGTGTACTTGGTGTTTCTGAAATATTTATTATTCCACGGTTCGGTATGTTTTATTTACATTTGTATTTAAATATATAAGTTTTTATTTGGGTACATTATATATATTTGAATGTGACAAACCCCATTTCATAAACTGTCGTACCAAATTACTGCAGTTAATACCGTACGTGAACTTCTGTGTTCATTACAAATGCCGCCCGAATCCATAGAATACACGATTCGTTAATTTCGTGTGTATAAAATAACAATATAAATATGGATTGAAATGAACCAATATTGAATATAATTTGAATTTTTAAATTTATGGGAGGTTAAATCTAACTTTAATTTACTTTTACTGTATTAACAGACCCTGATTGTTGTCCACCAGCAGAAAACTCAATGTCAAGTAGTGCTAACATCGCTCTAGTTGATGTTGGTGAAACGATAATATTACAAAGGGAGATAACTGGGTATCCTAGACCTTCAATAGACGTGGAATCGATGATATCACCAGTAGGAGTTAACCCTAATAAACAATATATTAATTATACACTGATTAACGCAACTAAACCACATCATTATAAACTTAATCTTTCTGTATATGTTGTTACCGAACATTATATTGGTAAATACTATATTTACTTAAAGAACAAGCATGGAGGATTACTGGTCTGTCACACGCTGGGTTCGTATTTATTAATGTATCATATTACAGAACTATACCAGTGTAAGCTTAGATTATAAATTAGCAAACCTCACACCTTGTCACGTATCGAGCAATACCATAGTAAGCTTAGACGAAGAAAACAACAAGTGTGAATTCTCTATGAGAATAAAAGGAATATGTTGTTAGGTTTATCAAGTATTTTTAAATATACTATTTTATTTATTACAGCTAACAATGACGTGATTAATACTTCTACTGGAACTACAGCTACCAATAATGACGTGATTAATACTTCTACTGGAACTACAGCTACCAATAATGACCTGATTAATACTTCTACTGGAACTACAGCTACCAATGATCTTATTAATACTTCTACTGGAATAATTATAATTATATGTCTATTAATAGCTGTTTTTATAATTGGTTTAGTTTTTGTCAAGATATATTATAACAGTAAGTGATTGATATTTAATAATAAGATATATTATAACAGTAAGTGATATATTATATTTAATAATAATATATATTATAACAGTTAGTGATATATTATATTTAATAATAAGATATATTATAACAGTAAGTGATATATTATATTTAATAATAAGATATATTATAACAGTAAGTGATATATTATATTATAACAGTAAGTGATATATTATATTTAATAATACGATATATTTAGAGGTAAGTGATATATTATATTTAATAATAAGATATATTATAACAGTAAGTGATATATTATATTTAATAATAAGATATATTATAACAGTAAGTGATATATTATATTTAATAATAAGATATATTATATTTAATAATAAGATATATTATAACAGTAAGTGATATATTATATTATAACAGTAAGTGATATATTATATTTAATAATACGATATATTATAACAGTAAGTGATGTATTATATTTAATAATACGATATATTATAACAGTAAGTGATATATATTATAACAGTAAGTGATATATTATATTTAATAATAAGATTTATTCTAACAGTAAGTGATATATTATAACAGTAAGTGATATATTATATTTAATAATAAGATATATTTATCCGTTGTTTTATCATGCTTTTTATAGAACATAGAGTCATTCAAACAGGAAGTCACACATCTCTCAATTGTACACAGAGATGATATTTGAAACCAAGTTTAATTCACCCTGAAGTCACCACTTTCCATAATCTGATTAAAACACAGATCCTATTTAGTTTCGTTTTTTATAGTTCAAAATTTAGTTTTACTTATCATTACTACACTAGGATTTAAAAGAGTTGTTATATTATCGGTGTTTTGGTTGAAGTAGGGGATTAGCCAATGAAACGGTCCGTTACGGCGAGTTCTTGGCCTTTTGATGTACGGACCTCAGGGTAAACCACTCGAAACGTCAACGCTGATTTAATCAATGTCTGACGTCATAAGGTCAAAATCCACCCGTGTGACCCCCGACGTGACCTCCTACACTACGTGATTATCATCCCAAACTTAGGCTGCCTATCTACAGCTAGCTCCGGCCGAGAATAGGCCCTAAGCTAATTAACCGACATTTAAATTCCTACATCGACGATTTTAGTCGAAAACACTGAGTATGCTTTTAGAAATTTTTAAAAGTATTTATTTCTCTTCTATTGTCATATTGGATGAAATTAGATATGTTTATTTAGCCGCTGTGTGTATGAAAGATGTCAAACTAATCAAAGCAGAATCACAAAATAGTCCTCTAATTATTCAATATGGCGGCGCCCATGAAACATAATTTCACAGAGGCGGTTTTGTTTGCGAAAACAAATTTAGGAGTATCTAACCTTGTTTTGAAAGATAAACAGATTGAAACTCTAAAGACAGTTTACAATGGTAAAGAATTTATTGCAATATTACTCATAGCACATATTATATATCGCTTTTACGCGAGTGTCAGCGACATGCCGTGTTTACATAAAACACACGTGCGTGGGTTATTTTTACTCTGTTGTCTAAACAAAGCGGTATCGAGTTGATACATGATCACATGAGCGTTTTAAATGGCGGATAATCAGTGCAGTGTCACATTCTGGGAAGTATGACGTAGATGGGTCGCTGCGTGCAGTATACGTGATTATCTGACAAGTTATAGTTGGCCATCGAAAGTATAAAAACAAAACTAAATATAGATCTGTATTTTAATCAGATTGCTCTTTCCACGATTGAAAAATACTTATCTTAGTTATCGCCCGGCAAATGTTGATATACTTCAATCTATTTACAGAGATTGCTACCAATACAAGAACCATTCCTCCAGAACATCAATATGAAGAAGTTGCCATGCAACAGTTTTCTACAGATCGTACCACACTAAATACTAACAGAACACTTTTACGTAACAGAGAAGCTTTAATTATTCCTTCAACACAAACATCTTCCTATTATGAACGACCAGTTCAATTAATTCCCCACCGACTACTAGATTATGATCAGCAAGAAAATATAAACGATGGGGTCGAAGATGATGGTGATGATGCTGCTTCTGGTGAGGATGCTGCTTTTGGTGAGGATGCTGCTTCTGATGGTTTTAATGATACCAACTCAGCATGCTTGTTTACACCACAGAATGGTGACCATACTACTCCTAAATACATCTATACAGAAACCAGATCATTATCATATACAAGGCTTGATAGACAAACGATGAACCAAAGACCAAATTCTTATCAGGAACTGAACGTACAGGATAAATAAGGCAGCCATCTAAACACCATTCGTTAGACATCTCACATAATATAATATATAATTTCATCCAAATGTATTTTGCTACTTTTGTTTATTCTGTTACATCACAATTTTTTTGGAATATTTTGATATTTTTCTGATATATTTCTCTATTATGGGGGAGGGGTGGGTGGGTGAAAAGATGTTGTTAAGATTAGTTTAAGATTAGATTGGATAATTCTAGTTATGATGTAGCCTTCCGTTTCGGATGTAGGCTACTCGTTAAAGGCTATAGGCTTTAACATATTTTCTTTTCAATTTTACATTTCTTCAAGGATTCTAGATCCTTATTAAATTTTCTCAATACCCATGCTTTCCTTTCATTTAAGTTGCTGTATTGGCGTATATACCACACTTTACTTACAGTTAACATAGTCTCCGTTCAATTCAACCCATTAAGGACATTTTATGTGAATAGATATAATCACGCATCTGCTTGTTGTCTAATTTTTATCATCATGTGATCTGTCTGTCATTTGGGAAATAATATCTCTCATATTTATTGAATTTTCTTGTTTACATTGATTGTATTTATTTTTTTTTTATATTGGTTAAATTTCCTTTAAAAAAAATGATTGAATTCTCATATTTTTATATTGATTGAATTTTCATTTTATTATATTGATGAAATTCATTGAATTCTCATTTTTAGAAAATATGTGTTGAATTCTTAATTTGTACCATTGATTGAATTCTCAAATTTTTTGTGTATTGATTGAATTCTCAATTTTGTTTATATTGATTGAATTCTCTTTTTTTTTTAATAATAATTGAATTCTCTTTTTGTTTTTTTATATTGATCCCATTTTCATTTTTTTTATGTTGATTTATTCTCGTTATTTTTTTATTGGTTGAATTCTCATTTTTAAAATATTGATTGAATTCTCATTTTGCTTTTTTATATGTCGTTTGATTTCTCGTTTTTTATATCTCGATTGAATTCTCATTTTTCGTTTTTAAAATAATGATTGAATTCTCATTTTTTATTGATTGCATTGTCATTTTTTCTATATTTGTTGAATTCTCAATTTATTATATTGATTGAATTATCATTTTTTAAAATGTTGTTCAAATTCACATTTTTTTTATATTGATTGAATTCTCATTTTTTTTTGTTTACATTTATTGCATTTTCATTTTGTTTTTATCGATTGAATTCTCACTTTTTAATATTTATTGAATTCTCATTTTTTTTAAAAATCAAATATTGATTGAATTCTCTTATTTTTTATAGATTGAATCTCTCTTTTTTTAAGAAAAGAAGAAAATATTAGTTGAATTCTTAATTTAAATTCTCATTCATTTTTATATTGGTTGAATTCTCAATTTGTTTTGTATTGATTGAATTCTCAATTTTTTAAAAATTGATTGAATTCTCATATTTCTTTTCACATGAATGAAATTTTTATTTTTTTGAATATTGACTGAATTCTCATTTTATTTATAATGATTAAATTCTCATTTTTTATATTGACCGCATTCTCAATTTTGTTTTAATATTGCTATAATTCTCATTTTTGTTTTTATATTGCTATAATTCTCATTTTGTATATTGATATAATTCTCATTTGTTTATATTAATATTGATATAATTTTCACTTTTCTATATTAATATAATTATCTTGTGCTGCGTAATTTGATTAATTATTCTATTGATTTGTTTTGTGTTCATGTTATTGTTCATGTCATGACAGTGACGGCGTTTCGGCAGTATCTGTTTATGATTTTTGTTGATAATCTGTATGGTATAGAGTTAAGAGAAGGCTTTCGTATTATCGCTGATTTATATTCCCATCTTTAATATGGCCATATGATGTCACTCGGGTTCCCTGATAATTTTATTAAAGTATATTTAAATGTGTGATTCAGTGAGGATGTAGGTATATTATTATTATAGATGTTAGATATGTTGTTTTCCTTCAATAAGCCGTTATTATTATTTTGTTTTATCGTTTTTGTAAGATATTAACAAGCTTATTGTATTGTATATTATTCAACATACCTTGCTTATTTTATTTAGAAACAGGTTATTTTTAAATGTTTCCTTATTTTTAAACTTTTATTTGTATAAAGTGGTTCTGGTTTCAATTAAAGATTGTTCAGACTCACCAGATTTGTTATTTTATTATTTGTTGGCTTACATCCATCTAGATATTATAGTAGAATGATGGTATCACACAATTAAACTTTAAATATTATTTTATATTAGAGACATATATCCACCGTAGAAAGGTTGATCATGATGAATATAGCTCAGTAACCGGTTGGTCATAATTGATGAAATACACATTACCAGGTTAGGTAATTCAACAAGGATTCCTGACAATGTAGCAAAATGACGAACAATTTGTATATTTTAGCTATGAAATAATTGCATACAATTCAGTTAGATATCCGTCGAATGAATGATTTGTGAAGTTTATCATACTTTGCCCGTTTGCACAATGAACCTCCAGCATTGAAATCATGGCAGAAAGATTGAACTGAAGTCATGGCAGAAAGCTTGAATTAAAATCCTCCCCCAATTAAGCAATTCGCAAAAGGGCGTAGGGTGAAATCCGTCGTTGGGTGTATTCATATATAGACGTTTCATTTTCGTCTGTTGTTATAACAAGCCAACTAATGGTATTTATTTCTAAATGTTTACTTCGCTATTTTGGTAGAATCGATTTGGATGTCGCCTACAATTTGATATGTGGTCACTTAATTACAAATTATATATCATGAAAATTATAATTATAAATCGTCTATTAAACCAATCCCATCCCTAACAATGATAGAGGGATTTCCAGGCTACGACAAAGTGAATAGTCTGTTGAAACAAAGGCCCCAATCATTCGTTGCAAAATATGGCGTTGACAAAGAACCCAGAAAACGCCACAGTGGAGTATAAGCATTGCAGCCTCGTATCGGTAGATGTACTTAATATTGTTCTTGGATCGTCTCTATCAAGGATACAAAGCTCTTTGGAATAGCGCTAGATGAGCTGCTACCTCTACAGTGCTTTATGAATATTGATACTCTGATCTATGTAGTACAGTAGTCAAGTCGTAGATTTTGGAGTTCCTTTCCTGTTTCCATCTAGTGTGAGATTTCCGCGTCCTTGCTACCACACAGTTGTGGTCCGCCATTTCCTTTCAATCTTGTAAATGACCTTTCATATTGTAACCAAGTAACTTCTATGTGATTTATTAAACATAGATAAATCAACAAATATTTACAAGAAAGAGAGAGATCCGATCCGTTCTAAACCATAGCTCACTCTATGTTTGAAATACATTTCTACAAAATATATAATAGACAATTATGACACATTGACAATTAAACTATAAAACATTGCTTCTGAGTTGAAATCTAAAACAATAGTTCGTTTTATAGAGAGTTTGGTTAATGACCAATACTTAATCCCTCCATTGTTTAGACTGTAATGCTTCGTCTAAATTATATCTGGCGTAATAGCCAGTGGCTGGTTTAATAAGGTTCTATAGCACAGGGCCCAGTTGACATTATATTGTAAAGAGTTTTACTTTATCTGTTTTTATAAGGACAACATGTCACTCATGTCAGTGTTGGTTTAATTCAACACGTATCTCACAGGAGAAATAATTAGATAATAAAATAGATTTAAAATATATTAATGGTGTCAAAGATATGTTTACCAAAATGGGGAATATAATATTGAATTTTAATATATAGAACTCATATCACTTATGTCGGTCATAATATCTTTAAACGGGCGATGCTAATAATCGCTAAACTGACAACGTTTTCCTGAATTATGCCGCATTTCCTTAAGTAATAAAACACTTCACCGTTTAATAAATGTAAACATTGTGTCTCCGAATTTCAAAATGTCCTTGACCTTATGTTTACATCAATGAGCAGAGTGAGCGGTAATTCGACACAGAAAGGTAAATAAAGGTGGGGTATATAGGACATCTGATAACACCTAGTCTAGATATATAATATTGATAGGTGTTGTACAGGAGACTGGGTATGCTTACTATTTCTATAACTCCTGATACCAGGGGTTAGAAAACGCTGGGTGGCCAACTCGGAGACGACCGTTTGTCAAGCGAGTAGGGAGTTGACTGGTTTGTTGGCGTGCACAGGACAGTCCTCTCCCGCACTCAGCTGCGTTATTCCCAAATCCCGACCATTTCTTCGCTATATCCGACCGTAGGGATATGTGAACTTTATTCGGGATTAGGCAATGACGCAGGTGAGTGCACGCCAACAGACAGAGGGAACTACATCAACAAATCCCAATGACCATGATCGAACTCGTGACACTTGGTTAGCTAGGCAACGTCTCACTGAGCCACCGTGGCTCCTAATTGATTTACAAGAAGGTTGCATCATCAGTAAACAACCATACCCCCTCCTTCGGATGGGACGAAAATCCAAGTTCCCGTGTAGGTAAATAATCCGTGATAGTGGGAAATCGAAAGAGTAGCCCACAATCCCATGTAGAATATGCCCGTCCTCATTAGCCCATACGGTTCAGAAAAGGAACGTTAAACCCTATTTCATTATTTTACGGATGAGACAGCCTTCTTATAAAAGAAATTAAATACAAAAGCAGCTTACTTGAAAAATGGACAATAATGATATCAGAGTTCTAGGAAACAATAATACATGTATTTGAATTCCGAATAACGAAACATGCTCAAAAGGCAAAATTGATTGTTTTTTGACATATAAGTGAAAAGAGTTTCTTTACTGCTGGGGCATAAGGCAATTAAATATAAATAAAAGTTTACTTGACAAATGGATAATAATTTCAAAATAATACATACATACATACTAAATAATAGATTTATTTGAATCCCGAATACCGAAAACGTCCCCTCTAGTTATTCGCATAGGCGTACGGGCTCGTTGAATGTTACGGGGGCAGAACGACAAATTTTCGGGTTACATATGGCGGTGCCAGTCGTCTGCGAGAGGACAAGGAGCAGAGCTTACCACACCGTTCCCTCAAAGAAAATTGGACGGCCGCAAACGCGTTTTCCAGTTG